GCTTTAACTACCCATGCTTTATATAATTCTTCAGCATCATTGGAAATTTGTACTTAAAACTAAGACATAAAAACAAACAGAAAATGATAATCTTTTGCAGTGTGCCAATCCAGTCCTGAGTACCTAGCTCAGATCCTGTGACTCTCTTGCATTTAGTTCCCCTTAGGTTTAATTCTAGTCCCTTCTTACCTAAGACATTACAGCAGCCGGGCAGTGGTGGCGCACGCCTTTAATCCCAGCACTCGGGAGGCAGAGCCAGGCGGATCGCTGTGAGTTCGAGGCCAGCCTGGGCTACCAAGTGAGCTCCAGGAAAGGCACAAAGCTACGCAGAGAAACCCTGTCTCAAAAAAACAAAACAAAAACAAAAACAAAAAAAAAAAAAAGACAATACAGAAAATCTATGATATTTTTACTATCAGTGAAAACACATGCATCCTTTGATTTTAACAGGAGTAACATTAGCTCACATTTCTTGAGGAACTATACAGTATATAGTAAGTGGCCCAGAAGTTTTATATACATTCTATGCTTGACATAAACAGAATCATTCCATTACCATTAAGTGGAAAGATGAAAAGAAAAAATGCATACTCAGTGAAGTTTAGGATGAGAACCAAGGTTCTAAAACCCTGCCCTGAATTAAGATCTTCATCCTCCAAGACCCATTTTGAATGTTTCTTATACCAGTTCTTCCACTCTGCTCAAATTAACTTTTCTCTTTAGCCCTTACTAACTTAATTACAGTTTTGTTTTTCTGTTAATAATTCATGAATACCTCCTCTCCTTGTCCTTACCAAGCTCTGAAGGCATATACCACACGTTTGACATTCCTAATACACCAGACAGATCTTGGTTAAGGTTTTGCAGTCACCATATAGATCTGCTGGTGAGCATGTGTGGGCTCCTCAAGGAACTGAAAAGCTTTGCTTTGTAGTAACCTCTGAACTCATACTCTAGCACACCAAAAAAATCCTTCATGAGTAACTGCTTAGTGAAGGATCTCTTACTAGCTTAGTGCTAAACTTGACTTTGTATTTGGATAGATTCATGGAGACAATAAGCTATAGACTCAAGCTCAGCCATATTAAATATTTAATATGTTTTTAGAGGAAAGTAAACAAGTCATCCAGAATGTAGAATTCAATTGTCTATTTTAAATTTGATGGAGAGGCACATTACAGTCACTGTACAATCCAAAACCTGTACAAAACTCCAGCTTATGTGTGCATACAGTGACTTCTCACTCCCTTTGAAGAGATAGACATGGATCCCAGGTACATCTACACCCTAATTTTGTAGAACTGAAGGGTATGAATCAAGCTCTTTATTTAGCTGCTGCTACAAGGAAGCTGGATGTACTCAACAGGGCTCTCATACGGGACTATTGCTGACTAAAGCAAATGAATCTATCTCCCAAGTATTATGAGAAATAAGTAGTGGCTATTAACAGGAGAGTCATGGCAGAATTTTAACTAAGGTATGGTAGGGGAATAGATAATACATGATACTACTTCCATTTATTGGTTGTACAATGGTCAAGACACTTCTCTAAGATTTAATAGACAGTGATTACAGAAGAGACTTTTCATACAGAACCTGTTCAACATGTTCTATAAATGATATTTTCAAACATGTAGGTTACACCAAAATTTACTGTTTCTTTGTATGTTGGCTAGCTAATGATAAAGTTATGTGAGCCTATGTCACATAACTAACAATGTATTTGAGTGTCTAGGACACCACAGTTCTACTAATGAGCAAGCCTCAATTAATTTAAAGCTAGATATACTAAATTTTCTTTATTCTTTTCTTACAATTAGAATTATCAGTAATTATTATTACAAACAAATGAGGTTCCATGACCCTCAAAAAACACATTACAGATAAAGATACATACTCTTTAAATTGCCTTGGGCTCCATGAGATCACTAATACCTAAATAACCTGAAATGTCTAGATATCCACTTGTGAGTCCCTTTGTCTCCGTCAACCCTCGCTTCTGTTTAGCTTCCTGCTTTGACAGAAGAAACCTGACTTAGGATAAGTAACTCCTCCAGCTTCTTCCTTTGACCAGAATATTAGGTTCTACACATTTTAACTGATATATAGCTCCAGATTTTTTATAGGATTTTGGGGGAGGGGGTTGGTTTTTCGAGACAGGGTTTCTCTGTGTAGTTTTGGTGCCTGTCCTGGATCTCACTCTGTAGATCAGGCTGGCCTTGAACTCACAGAGATCTGCCTGGCTCTGCCTCCAAAGTGCTGGGATTTCACTACCACTGCCCATCTTTTTAAAGCATTTTAAATGGCTCTCCTAAGTTGACAAGGTATCAACTTTTTCATACAAATAAAAATAGGATAATTTTGCCTTTATAAGGTCAAAGATTGACAATTAGCATCGTCAGAACTTTGTAGTATATGTGGATTAAACATATTAGTATGTACATTAATAGTAATAACAGTAAATATATTTCTTATATTTTCTGCACATATATATAGTTTTGTGCACACCTTGTCGTTTATGTAGTAATGGCACTCTAGAAAATTAACTTTAAAGGCATCATTGTCAAACAGTGGCAAATGAAACAAGATTTATGACTATGACTTGTTTTTCTTTTTTTAGCTTTATACTTGATATGTTTAGCTGCCAACCCATTTTCATTAACGTGTTTTTATAGCTTACCTTAAGTTCTCAGAAAGGTATATATCAAATACTTGCTTTAAAATTATGATCGGTTCAGTCAGTGGCACATCACTTAGATCACTTACCAAACGTGGGATGTCTTAGGTTCAATCCTCACCCAGTACTAAAACAAAACAAACACCCTCCAAAACAAAAGTGGTTTTTACGCTAGACAGATGGTTCAGCAGTTAAGGATACATTACTCTCACAGAGGAGCCAAATTTAGGTCCCACATTCAAGTCGGAGAGCTCACAAAGACCTATAACTCTAGTTCCAGAGGCTCTGATAACTTCTGAAAGAACTATAATCACATATGCACTGAACTCATACCCACATACAAAGACATACATAATTTAAACAAAATTATAGGTAATAAAAATACCACTTTTATTTTTCTTAAGTAGCAGTTCTTATGGGTAAAAAAACCAATCTCACTAACTTGAAAAAAAAAATGTGAGATACCTAGTACCTTAGTCTAACAATAAACCAAAGATATTTTTCAAAATTCAACATTTTTAATAGTCATTTAGATCTTTCTGTCATCAAGCCAAAAATTATTTTAAATGTGTTAATATTTACAAATTGCATGTTTTCACTTTTACTTAATATATTCTTATGACTAACAAGCTAACTTATAGTTTGTTGTTTTGCCTACTATCTAATTATATAAATTGAAACCATGCTTTTAGTAGAAAAGGTCTGTGCCTGGGGAAAAAACCCTGAGATTGCCAGTATTGTTAAACATGGTACAGCAGATTTGGTTTATTAAGTAACTGTAAATTGTACAGAAGAAATCAGAAATAGGTTATGGGAGTCTGAATGTGCCGCTGCCCAATTCTATCAAGTCACTTACATGGAGATACCTCAATATTCTCATTACCGATAGGAAGATTCAGAGATACACAACTGGAAAAGGCTTAAGAGCGTTGCAATCCATTTAAACTAATAGTTAAGTCAAACAAGTTAGTGTCTATCAAGCTGCTAAACAGAGTATGAGCCTAAGAATAGGCATTACCCATAAAGTGGAGTAACTTTTCTTCTGGACTCAAGTTTGCATAAATTTAAAGAGCTGAATTATTCGAGGCATTTCATTATTTCTATTTTTGTTGAGCAACTGCCACATATTCAGCATTGTTTTATCTCCAGAGTTAAGCATACCAATCTTCTTTCTTTAAGATCTAGAAGAGGATATCAGACATCGAACAATAGTGGAGAACCAAGAAAAATTCTTTCATTGTTTTACAAGTACTGAAATAGGTTCTAAGATGGAAGATTTGTGTCAGGCTCTGAAACATGAAAAGGTCTGATTAAGCAGAGTGGAGGGCAAGATTACCTAAGTGATGACATTCAGAAACAATAGGGACTGTGCCCATTCGCATGTGAAATAAGACAACAGTCTTCCAAGAACCAAAGGGCATGTATTAGAGAATAACCACATGGAAGACAACCTCTGACTAACCCAACCCAAGTCCAAATAAGCCATCAACTCCAGTAATGTAAAAAAGCAAGAAGCCGGGCGGTGGTGGCACACACCTTTAATCCCAGCACTTGGGAGGTAGAGGCAGGTGGATCTCTGTGAGTTTGAGGCCAGCCTGGGCTACAGAGTGAGTTCCAGGACAGGCCAGAGAAACCGTCTCAAAAAAAAAAAAAAGCAAGAAGAAAAGGCAAGCAGAATACTAAGTATCCTGTAGGTGCTAGCTCTGTTCCTGTGTCGAGCTGGCCACCAGATAAGACAAGCTGCACAACTTGATACTCCTCTACCAAAACATGCCTACTTTTTTTGTCTATTCCTAATGATTAATCAGTCCACTAGAAAGCTAACAGAGCAAGGAAAAGAGGAAGGGTTATGTTTCCAGTTCTACACCAGTACAGTATGACATCATATTTATAGTTAACTTTCAGAGACTCAGTTCATCACTGTAAATATACAGCCTTGCTTAGCTATGAAATTAAGATGAGATAATTGCATGTGAATGAGTCTAGAACACAACAGGAATTAACAAATGTTCCTTCTCTTAAAAGTAGTCCTGATGCTAAAGGGTCGAACCTTCCAGTAAGTTAAGGCCTTTCTTCTATAAACTAAGCTAATGAAGTGATTGACATCTTTTGTACTGGGGTATCTGAGTGAACACCTCGAGGCATACTTACACATGACATAGTTGATCACAGTTCACTAAGGCAGCATATAGAACAAGAACTGTCAGGATAAATACATTGCTTACTTGCTTTAGGGTGCAAACAGTATTCCAAACTTTTCTTCTACAAAGTTGACAATTTGAAATTTAAACTTAAAATGCCTAATACTTTGTTTTTTTTACAGAGTGCTACAAATGAAAACTGATGAGAGAGTGGATTTGTCTGATGGGAACACAGCAAGCTGCCCATTGAGCCCCATTAAGATGTGCCTTAATCATCCTATTGAATGGAATCTAACAGCAGCATCTCTAGGAAGCTGTACAGTTCATAACCAAAATCTCAAAAATGAAGAAAAATAGTCTGTAGTTCTTGCACTATCTTTATTTTGTATGTCAATATTCTTTCTCATGAAAACCAATTGATCCTAAAATGTTTCTAGTCCTGTGATCTGTCTTTATATTAAATCATTAGCATTCATTTTTATTATAATTATGTTTTTTACAAATATTACACAAGACCATAGTGGAGTTTTGCAACAAAAGCAGATTTTGATGTTTCTCTTTTTATTGGTGAATTTTTTAATGCCCTCAGTTTAAATATGTAATTGCCCAGTTCTGTTTCTGTGCAGTTTGACCTATACAGATTCTGTAATTTAGAAAGCTAGTATTGTAAAGGTGTGTGATAATGACCTAACCCATGAACAGTTGTGTAACAGGTGGATACTAACTACCTCGAAGCAAACTGGGAAAGGCAAAGGTATCACTTGGAAGTATATCTCTTCTAAAGTTATATATGTATAGAAAAAGGTTGATTAGCTTATCAAACAGCATGTTTTCATTCATTAAAAAAAATTAGGTTATCAGTTCTCTTTCTGTAATTTAAAACTCTCATCTGTGGGCCATAAGAGCAATGGCACAATTGCATGTTTACCCTTCAGCAAATTTGTACCTCATGGTAAACAAGAATACTGGTTTAAGTTAACAATTCTGAATGAAAAAAAAAAAAAAGATAACTGTTTTTATACCTGTTGGCTTTCTTGTATTTTAGCAATTTACTCCAAAGCTTACAGGGATAGCCTGTAGAAGCTGGACAATATTCCTTACTATGCTAATGATGCAAAGTACACCTGCAGTCATGGCTATTGTCTAAAGTCTGAGGAGTTAAGACTACTACTAATGGTTAGTGATTAAAAGCTGGTTTTCCTTTGTCAGAAAAGCAAGCTTTTGGTACAGTGTCTACATGATCATAGCATCTTTCCCTTTGGATACTCTGCACATGTACAAATGGGATCATAGTTCATTCGTAGAGGCTTCCCCTTACATCGTGTTATATACCATTTTGGTCCTGCTTACTTCCTATTCTCTGTGAATTTTTTTAAGACAGGGATTTAACAGGAGCTATAACAATAAGGAATATGAAGCACAGAAAAAGACACAGAGCCAAGAGATGAAGAACAACAATGTTTTTCATTGATTTATAATCATTAACAGATCTATCTGCCTTTTCCTTTTGCTTAATGAGCATTCTTGCTTTGCAACTTTGACTCCTTTTCTGAGTTCTAAGAAGCACATATTACATACATAGAATAGCCTTTTGGTTCTAAAAACCAGCAATATTACCTTCACTCCATCTCAGAACATCAGTTGAAATAAATGGCCTCTGGCAAATAAATTTAAAGAAGCACAATTAATTAAAAAAAAATCATGTTAGAACATTTTTATACGAAATAAAGAGAAAAGGTCATATCAGAAATAATCTAGGTGTTTCATTAGATATGGCAGAAATAAAAAGGACTACTTTTATACAATGCAGCTTTCAAAACACTTATGTTTTGTAAGTGACAATTTTAAAAGATAATTGAAGTTGACAGCGAAAAAAACTGCTCATAAATCAGTACATAAAGATGACTTCTTATAACTTTCATTTTCCATTAGTATTGTTTATCATTCCAACTAGATTATTCTTTGATGTGCCAAAAACCAATGTCTCTTCATGATTAATGTGTGTGGACATCTCCCTAATCCAGAAACATTCATAAACGTGTTCCTATATAGAAAGATTTAGGAAGAGAAAATGACCCAGAGGTAAGATTATCAAATAAATACTTAATATGGGAATCATACAATTTTCAAAGCCATTGTTTCATGTAAATAAGGAATGCTTTGGTTCATTATACCAGTCCTCAGTGGTAATAAGCAGCTTTCTGTATAGCTGTAAGTACTCACCCTTCAAATGCCATTTGTCTGACACTGTCACCTATGTTAGATCTACTCTATTTAAGCTTCTCAAATATAAGCTACTGGTCTTATTATACATCTTTCCAAATGTCATAGTTTCATAGGGTTCACCTTGGGAACCTAATTTAAAAGCAAGTTCCTAGGCCCACTTAACATTCTAATAAAAACAAGTCTGGAACAATGCAGATGGATCACACTGACAGATGCCAAAGTCATGTGGCATCATTCCATGTTTCCAGAAACACAGCAGGTATTTCTTATTTTACCACAGTAACTATTAAAGCAAAGAAATAAGCACAACTTCAAAGGACTCTGTCCTCATCAACTCTCTTAACTCGGATCTTCATTAAGCACCTGAGCAAGATTACGTTTAGTTTTCTCTAGTGCTGCTGTCTTGGCTCGTCTTGGTAATCTCATCTTCATTTCTGATGGTGGTTCTGGAACATCATGATCACTAGACAGATGTTGAAAATACATTCATTTAGATATGAGCTTTAAAAGTCAGAATATTAATAAAGAAAACTTAGTTTCTGACATTCTAACAGTGTATAACTAAGCTTAAAACTAAAATCCCAAGCAATAACCAAAAAACACTGGCTGGATGGCTGCCTTGCCACATGAATCACAGAACAACTGGCTAACTTGGTAATTTTTAATCTACTGGTGAAGCCTGGTGTCATATACGGAAAGAAGCAAACACCAAGCTTTTATAGTTAAGTTTATAAGTACATAGAGACCACAACAATCTGTCCTAAACAGTTTTGGAAGTGAAAAAACATTACTATGTTCTCTTAATCAAGTTAGTAAATTACCAAAACAATGTTAAGTTCTCCCAAAAGCACTTAATCTAAGAAAATATGCACAGTCCAATACCAATTAATAAACGAATGCAAGACAACAAAAAACTTTTCAGGCTCCATTATGGCTTGACATTGACTGAGAATAATCACTATTAATACAAACCACTAATAAACTAAAGTTATAAACAGAATTGTAGCAGAAGAAATCCAAATGTTATCTAAATCAAGATAAAGAGTCATATACACAAGGTCCGGTAATGAGAATACAAGGAAATTGAGAACACATTAACTACTATGAAGGTGATGCCAACTAATAAAAATACCTCTTCATAAGTCTAATGTTCTTGATGGAGAATTTCAGACTGTCTGCCAAAGTCACAGATATTTATGGCATTTACTATCTTATAATATACCAAGTTTCTCTCACAAGAAAATTACAATTTTCTACTTCTGAGCAAAATAAAAGCTAATTAGCATCTTCTCTGTCTTGTAGAAACATATGACATACCTTTCAGAGTCAGTCTCAGGAGTCTGACGTCTCCTATTGGTCCTAGATGAAACTGGTGCTTTTCTCCGCCCTTAAAGACAGTATAATTTATTGGCAAAATTTTAAATGGTTTCATATTCCTGAATCTAGTTTCCAGGGTATCTAAATCTTTACTTTCAGCACAACAATCTTCTTCAACACATTTTCTTACTTCTAGCCACCTTTATGCTCTCAATACACCACAGTAGGGAAAAATGACTAAAATTTACATAAATTTCTTTGGATGAGCGCTACAAATACATGACAAAGATGCAAACTTTTGCTCACCACATAAGGTGATAAAAACATCTCAGGCTCGGTGTGATAGCTCAGTTGTTAAAGTGCTGGCTCTGCTAAAGATGAGGACTGGAGTTGAAATGCCAGAACCCACGTAACAGTCAGGTGTGGTGTCCCAAGCTCACAATCCCAGCACTGGGAAGGCAAAAAACAAGCAGATCCCTAGGGCTCAGTTCTTGGAAGAACTCCAAACCAGTGATGAACTCTTGTCTCCAAAACAAGTAGACTGTGACTAAGGAGCCACACCCCAGGCTGTCGTCTAGCCTCCATGTGCATACTAGTGCACAAGTGAACGATCGCACATACTAACAGTTTTCTCTTACAGTAGGGTACAGTGTATATGGAAAAACTAGCAAAAGATTACAAAGGTAAATTCAATCAATGAACAGCTCGAAAATGGAACTTTATTTTTATTATGTATGTTTATCTTTGAAGCACTACTGCCTAGCTAGACTGGCCTCAAACTGATGGGCTCAAGCTATCCTCACACAGCCTCTAGAATAGCTGTTATTACAGTCTGACACTGTCATCATACCTGGCGTATACATGGCAAATTCAAATGTTCTTAAATATAATTCAATGTTTGTTTGTTTGTTTTAAAAAAAGAAAGAAAGACAGGAAGGAAGGAAGGAAGGAAGGAAGGAAGGAAGGAAGGAAGGAAGGAAGGAAGGAAGGAAAAAAAAGGACCTCTATACACCAGGGTTTACTTGTTAGATTATTTTACAAGGTTAAGAACTAAGAACTGAAGAATGTAGTTCAGTGAATAGAGTGCTTGCCTAGCAGGTACAAAGCCCTGCTTTGAGTGACCATGTAAAATGCAGCATGGTGGTATAGTACCTATATTCCCAACCTGTAATCAGAAGTTCAAAGTCAATAGTGAATATATCTAGCCTAAGATATATGAGAACCTATTCTGGGGTGGGGGGGAGACATACTAAATCTGGCCTGCAAAATTCCTCATTTCTAAGAAGTAAAATATAGAATGTATACAGTAAGTTTGGACTATAAAAAAAAAAAGAGGTGGAGTGCTCATACTTTATTCTGTAACTAAAATCTGATCAAAATCAATTGTTCATTTGACAATTTATTTGAAAATTGTATATACTCTATTCATTGTTACATATTTCCCCCTCAGAGTTTATTTATTTGCTTTCACTAATGTATTTATCCCCAGGAAGACATCCAAGAATATGGAACTAATTTGGAACAATATCCAGTAATTGGTGTTTAAATAATTGGCTTGTTATGAAACAATATTATGGCCAGATTCTATTCTAGAAAAGATTAAACATACTTAGAACAGAGCCGTAAAACTATTTTCCATAATTCAAATCAGGTTTGGCTCATGGGTGGGACTACTAGTGTTCTTGATGGTAGGTCTGCTTGGATGTACTTTCTTATTCTTCTGTAACAAGCATGCATTGCTTTTGTAATAAGGAATTAATAAAACAATTAAAAAGGCCTTGAATTTCAGATGTTTTTCCACGTGGTCCCCTACTAGTAAATAAGTATTTATTCCAACAAATTCTCTACTGTTGGATACCCCTTGGGAAACTGAGTTGGGGGGGGAAATGCAATTAGATGGGGAAAAGGAAGTAAAAGAAAAGCAAAAATTTCAAGAAGGGAAAAAAATGCTCATTCACACAAAAAATTAATACTACTAAAAATATAAAACTATTATTTAACCTTTTCCGTTTGGTTGGTTTTGTTTATTGATACAAGGCTCTTTACAGAGCCCTGGCTATCCTAGCACTCACTATGTAGACAAGTCTGTCCTCGAACTCAGAGATTCACCTCCCAAGTGCTGGGATTAAAGGCGTGCCTCCTGGCAACTTAACCTATTCTTAATTTACCTACAAAGAGCCTTTAATTATATAATCTTCTGTATATTTTTCATTCAAAAGCATCTGGAGCAATAATAATCTTACAATCTTCAGAAAAATCAAGAATTCCCATCAACTGAAGGAAGTAAAGAAAGTTAAGCATACCAAAGATATTCAACACTTTATTCCTAAGAAAGTAAAGCCTTCAAAGTTAGTATTTTAACTTGAAAACAGTTGTATTTTAAGATGTAGTCAATCCACACATTACCTCTGTTAGTCTTTCGTTGTGTGGATTTGGATGCTTGAGTTCCTTTCACGTCCCTCTGAGGAGTCATATATTCTTCTATACATGGAATCATACAAAAATAAAAACAAAGGCAGTCTGGTTTTTGTAAGTCATCTTTTTATCTCACATAAAACAAACAGAAAATAGTCCTATTAGCAGCTCCTGATGATTACAATAAATCACCATTCCAAAAGCGTGAACACTACAAAATGAAGCTCCTGGTGAGATGGTTAGTAAGGAAATGTACTCAAATACGCTGAAAAGTGTAATAAGTGGAATAAACACATGTATAACAGCTTTTCCCAAGAGATGAAAAGAAAAGGATTTTTGTTCATTTCTGAAATTCAATCAAAACAGAATAAAAATCTCAGTAAAAATGAAAAATATAATTACCATCTTCATTCTGAAGAACATTTGTAGTTGTGTTGACATCCTGTGCTATTACAGTTTGGTCAAATTCTTTACTTCCTTTTCCTAACTGAATCTTGATTTTCTCCAAAGCTCTCAGACATGTCCTATCTGTTACTTGCTGGGGAAAGATATAAAATAAATTAATCTGTCAAAAGTTATATGCCAATATCAATATCAAGTTGTTTGAAAACATTCTTAAATTATATGAAATTCATGAAGGAAACAATTATTTCAAATGAACAGGCAGAATATATAACAGGTATTATTTAATACATCCATCTAAATATATGAACATGAACTACTCAAGAGTATTCAAAATTGCTTTACCTCCAGAATCTCATCCAATAGAAGCAGGAGATCTTTTGTAACACTGCTACTGAGTTCTAGAGAACTCAAAGCTTTTGTATAAACCCGATTTTCTGGTGTGCATGGACTTGTTAAGATCTCATTACAAATTTTCATAGCCAAGTTGTCATGTACTGTTAAGGCCTAAAAAATTAAAAATAAAAAGCTCTATAAAATAAAAATGCCTTCATCATAATATAGTTCTATATATCAAACAAAATGTTTCTAGCTATTGTGCAAAAGTCTCATTCACAAAATGTCTAAACCTAAATTTACATCTCTCTGCCTCCAAAAGAAGCTCCTTTTATTAGATATAGTGGGTACTACGGTACAAAGAGTAGGTCTACCCGCTTTAGGATTGAAGTATCACCCAGTTGTTGAAATGATGCAAGCTGATGAAAGTGGGCCTTTCCCAAACTCACACCACTGCCCTTAAAGGTCAGTCCACACCCAATGACTAGCTAAACAATGCACAGGTACCACAGTGGAGCTCATTTCAATTCTGAGCAACTCAAAAGAACATCTCAGTTCTAGAACTCCTGTACAATCAACTGAAACTATTTAGATGCGAATTCAATCTGACCTATGCCCCAGAATATGTTGCTCACCCTTCCAAGAATTCTATGAAGTATACTGTTACTCACACTTAAGACTACAGACTTTTCTTAGATTTAGCCATCTCTTTTGCCTCTCAAGCTTTCTCCAAATTTTCTCACCAAGTCACCTCATATAACCATCAGTGACCATTAAATGAGTATTCTTGACAAGACAGTAAGGTAAGCGAATTAGCGTGTGTGTGTGTGTGTGTGTGTGTGTGTGTGTGTGTGTGCTATTTAAAGTGAAATAGCCAGACACTGAAGAATGGCTCAGCAGGTCCTCCAGTGACTTTTCTGTTTAGATTTGCACAGAGCTGCAAGCAGCTAACCTGTCCTGGCTATGAGGATCAACCTATAGAGGACTGAGGTGGAGTTATCAACCTTAGATGAAACCATTACTTTAATTCTAATAAAATGACTTCTCATTTTAGAAACATTAGAAAAGCAGATCCTGTGAAAACAAATCTGAAATTCTTTCTTTATAGACATTAAATAAATAATGCTTTGTTTATTTTAGACAGGACTTTCATACTTAATACTGAATAGAACTTTATGCCCAAATTTGAAAGAAAAATATTAATTTCTTCATTCTTATTTCCCAGGATCTGCTAAAACTAAATGCAGAAATTTTAAAATGGTTTTGTTGGAAAAGGACTACTATAAAATATCAAAGCACTCAAGCATTTTAATGTTGTAGATAGTATGTTGAAAGTACTCAAAAATTTATCCTAGTTTTTTCAAGCTATTAGATCAACTTAAAAGTTAGATCGGCACCATTTAAATGTAACATATTTCCTAAGTTATAATTGTTCCTATATCTGAATTTAATAAATATTCATTTCAAATCAAAAAAAAAAAAAAGATTATTCTTGGTAAGTAGGTCTCATCCTATTAACCCTTTAATACCAAGTCCTCTATATACATTGCACATAGGGCTAACTCCAACCTTTGCATAATCACCTACATTTATAATATATTATATATATTAAATAATTAAATATATACATATAATATATAAATACTCACACATGTATGTATATATATGTATATATACGTATACGTATACGTATGTATACGTATATATACGTATATGTATACGTATATATACGTATATGTATACGTATACGTATGTGTGTGTATGTATGTGTGTGTATATATATATCTTTTGTTTCTACTCAATCCACTTCTCAAATCCCAACCAGGCCCAAGGCAGCCAGGTGTGATGGCACACACCTGTAATCCTGGCTACTTAGGAAGCTGAGGCAGTAGACCTGAAAATTCAAGGTCTGCCTGAGCACCTTAATAATGCCCTGTCTCAAAATAATAAATAAAAAGAGGGCTGGGGATATAATTCAGCAGTAAAACAGTTGTGTAGCACCAACAAAACCTTAGTTGTAATTCCTAACAATGCAAATAAAATAAAACTAATCATATGCTCATTGTTCCTATAAGAAATCTTATATTTTTTTAAATTCCAAAAGCACTTGATAGCTAATAACTGTTCCTTAACATATTTTGCTTAATATCCTTTGTAATATAATCTTCCCAATAATATATAATGTTGTGACAGAGTAGTCACTAAATAACAAAAAAAAAATATACAAATAGAACAAAACTGTCAACTTCCAACTGGCATCTGAAATCATTAAGACATCAGATTTCTAAAGTACTCAAGAATGTCATTAAAGGATTTTAAAACCCAGTTTAATTATAATTAAATTATAGATGAGCTTGCAGTTGACTTATATGCTCCACTTAAGAGCCAAAATAAGCTTGAGATAAACTCTTGGCTTTAAATCGTCCTTATTACATTTGCAGGTGTAATGAGTCTCAGATAACAGAGGTTATTACTTCAATGATTACCCTGCGAGGTGAGGAGAAAGGTATTGGAAATGATGAAGGGCAAAACATTTGCAATGATCATTTCTATTCCCATGATTTCTCCACATATCCCCAAAGATCTTGTCCCCCTCTTGGAACTGCTTTATAAACCAGAAAAACAAAAACCTCAAAATATAAATGTAATTCATCACATTTCAAAGAACCCAGCAGAAGGAACTCTTTAATCAAACAACAATGATATTCATTCAGTTATATTTGCCACCCACAGGCTAACATACACACCTGATAATCTTGGGAATTCTTTCCCTGAGGATTTAATCCACTTGGTCTTGTCAGATCAACAAGCAACTCAGCAACATTTATGACATCTACTTCAGCTAAAGGAGATGAGGCTGGAGCATTGGCCAGTGTCTGCAGAGTTGGAATAAAGGCTTCTTCAAAGCATTCCTGATTAGTCCTATTGAAACGAATCCCAACTTTCAGTACAAGGCCAAGGATATCTGCCCTGCTGAAGACTTCAGATCCCATTAACCTTTTTGGCCCTCCCTAACTTCGAGCTTCTGAATAAAGTAATCTGACCAAAAGGAGAAACTAAAAACTCCATTTACAAGTATGCTGACAAAACATTATTTAAGAGAAAAGTTTAATTCTAAAATATGCACAAAATGTAACTATAAGGTATACTTCCATGCAGGAAAAAGATAAAAATGTAGTTATATAAAATTTATGTCACATTCTTACCATTCATCTACTGAAAGAAGGTGTATCAACAACAAAATGACATAGATATAATTCAGGTGTGCATGGGGGGGGGGGGTGTCCTAAATCTGACTTCAAGTAAGATTTTAGCAATGAATGACAAAATACCTGCTTGCAAAAGCAAACATGGGGAAAAACACGCCTAGACAATGTCGAAGTCGAACATCCTCTTCAGTCACAGGATTATACCATAACAAAATAAGACGAGAAAGAATCCTGCTGCTGACCAGAAGCCCAGAGAACATCAGCTTGGCTAGTCCTTCTGCAGCGCCTGTCCTGAGTTCCGACACCTAGTAGAAATGACACTCAATCAGAAAGTTTTATCTCTAGTTTCTTTTTACAGTCATGTGCAATATTTTAAAATAACTATCCAAAAATCATTAATTTTATTCTGAATTTGATAAAAGTAAA